ATAACCAACCTTCATCTATAACAATTACTTTTGTTCCATCTAGCAAAGGTAATGTTTTTATGTGTGACATCTTTGAATAAAATACACTACGTACTTTGTATGATAATTATACTTATGGCAAAATTGTCAATTAATAAAGAATGCAGATATACAATAATGCGTTTAATATGTGAAACTTGTTCAGTCATTCACTCTAAAAATTCGCACGTGTGCTACACATAAAATTGCGATATTATTGATATAGTTTTCGCAATTTTATCAACAAGATATTAATAGAATTTATCTACGCGCACCTATTTCTCGTTATATGTATGTCATCGTATGTTATATGTACATCGAGACGAAGCGACAAATTTAAGTTAGAAAGACTATTTCTCTGAATGCATCGCATCGCACGAAATCCTAGATGTGGAAACAAACATAACCACATCGGCGAGTTTATTTCATGACAAATGTGAGAATGAGTCATTGTACTAGTAAGAAATTGTCAGTAATCTTCGATAAGGACAAGGAAATGAAAGATCATTAAAAAATGAAAAATTCCAATTTATCTAATAAAAAGAAATAAAGTACATATATTAATTATCAAGATGCGATAAGTATCGATACTGAATAACGTTGAAATCGACTTCTGTCGACTTCCTATAAGTATCATGATAAATTTCTGCAGAATCTTAATAATAATCATTATGTGCCTTTCTTTTTTCGAATAAATCAGAAATTCCTATTTTCTGGTTTATCTTTAATGAAATCGATATTACTAATCAATACTTCTAGAAAGAAATGAGTAATTGGAATATCTGTAAATTGTAATATTAGATATCGATTATCGAACGAATGTCTTTAAATGACTTGTTCTTTTTATTAACAGTACAATGCATTACATATCTCTCTATACTTATACTTACTTTATATTTGTAACGAGATTTATCTTTAAGATACTTTTATTTTTCCTTAAAAGTTCTTTCCCTTCTCTTAGTCCTACTTTAAGTCTTACTTTATTTCCTATTTTAAAATAATATTTCGAAATCGCCATAATCAACAATATTTTATATCACTTGAATACTTATTAAAGATTTAAAAGAAATATTTAAGAGAAAATAAAGTATAAAGAAGGTAAGAAAACGAACAGATGCAACGTCTACACCTAGTTAGCTGTTTAATACGTTTTACTATGTTTTATTGCATTTAAGATACATCGAGAAAAGAAGAAAAAAGATGGAAAGGTGTTGAAAAAAGCAATTAAAAAGAGCATATCAACATCGGTATCCTATTTGAAGATCGCTCCAGCATGAACTAAAGCCTCAAACCACAAAAGAGTCACACTATCTTCGATAACTATAGGCATCAGGTGATTGGTCTAATCAGCTGAGCACCGTCCAATTGCGTGCGCGCATGCCGCTTTGGGGGCGTTGTCGGTTGAGGTTGCGTTCAAAAATATTCTTCGAATACCTCCAAGTATTATTTCATCCTCGTTTAACATTCCGTGAACAACAAGAATAAAATGATACTCGGAGGCACTTGGATAGTGCCTTCAAATTCACTCCGATAGGTGGCGTCACGTTCGCAGCCGAGAGGTGGATCACTTGGCCGTTCGGGTGGGCGAACGTGACCGAAGACATAACGAAAATGAGTGCCAGAGTGTGTGTCACATCGAGGAAGTTTTGCTCGCAATAGGGAGGTTTTATTTTGACAGTGCGATACGCGGGCGGCTAGCGCGATGTGTATCACCGCGGCGCGTCCCTGAGCGAAGCCGAGTAGCGTCGAGTAACGCGTGTCCGTCGCGTAAGATCAGAAATATCGCCGCTCCGGGTCTCAGCCAGTTAGAGACGAACGGGCGCGCTGCGTGCACCTGCATGTGTCACTTGTGAGTGCAGTGCGAACCAGGGACACGTAGTACCTATCTACGCATTGTTACGCACGAGAAACGCGACTTTGTTATTGTTATTATTGTTATTGTTGCCATTGTCATCACCGCCGCCGTCGCCACCACCATCGCCGTCGCCGCCGCCGCCGCCGCCGTCGTCGTTGTCGTCGTCGTCGTCGCCGTCGTCGTCATCATTATTGTCGTCGTCGTCGTTGACATCGTCGTTGCCGTTGTCATCGACGTTGCCATTGCTGTTGCTATCGCCGCCGTCATCACCATCGTTGTCGTCGTCGCCGTCGCCGTCGTCGCCGCTGCTGCTGCTGTTGTCGTAGCCGTCGCTGCCGCTGTAGCCCCGACATCGACGACGCCGACATTGCCGCCGCTGCTGCTTTCCGTGTGCATCCATTCATCCCACCCAGTACATCGCCGGTCGTTGTCGTGGCGAGTCGCCTGATACGAGACTAGAAGAGTACACCGCACTGGAGATCGTCACCGATGAGTTTGGCCTGCTGTTCGCTGCTGCCTCTCTAACTAATCGCAAGCGTGTGTGATGCCCGGGAGCCGCTCCAGCACGGACCCAGAGCACAAGTCACCGCGGGAAAGTGGTGAAGACTCGGAGGATGAGAGCGAGATCCTGGAAGAGAGCCCATGCGGGCGGTGGCTTAAGCGCCGGGAAGAGGTAACATCTTTCTACAAATACTTTTTAAAAGTACGCTCTATCTATTTGTTTCCTCCTTTCCTCTTCATTCATTCTCCTTCTGATAACTACTTCACAGAAGTAGACTTATGTGGACTATTTTCCATTTTTATACCTATGATATTAGATGTTGGATGGATTTATTATTTTCTATTTCGAGCCTGTGCTTTTTGCTGCAGCTTGCCAGAGAACTGTAGGATGTTGTAAAAGGTCTGTTTGCGTTATTTGAAATTTCTTTTGAAAATTCTCGAAATTTCTTTTGAAGTTTCTCGAAAAATTTTTTTACATTTAAAACGAGATGATTATAGAATCAGACGCTGAAAAGAGAGAAAGCAAAGGTTCTCAGTGCAAACATTGTAAGCAACGCAAACAAACCTAGAGATTTTTGGAAAATTCTAGTCTTTCAGATGTCTTTTAGATATTTTTCAAACTTTTGGTTTCATTCATTAGTAATGAGTTATTAGGATGATAATATGGATTTTAATTGCCCTAACATATCTGTTGATGTTGAAACATGATCATGATCAATAAAGTTGATTTGTAATATTGCTATATTTATATTAAATGTTAACTAATTGGTTTAGCTGAGTGCTTTAAAAGAGCAAAATATTTTTGTATTTTTAAATCTATTCTACAATTGCATAATAATAAATTGTAGTTGTAAGAATTAATCTATCACAGTTAAATATTCTTCTCACATTCGACTGATTGGTCAATTCTTACAGTTACAACTACTTACAACTACATCTATACAAATGTAGAATGAGTTTTAAGCCCAATTGTATAAATGTAAAAAAAATATAATTGTAAGTGATTGTATTTGTGAGAATTGACTGATTGTAGTTAAATACAAGGCGAATGTAATTGAAGAATTTTTATAACCACTTGCAACTACATTTAAACAATTGTAGATTAAGCTTTACAATTATAACTATGCTTATGCAATTACAGAATAGGTAAATTCTTTAGATTTCTACTTCTAAATTATGACTCTAAATTTACATGTTATATATTACCAAGATATTTTTTTATTTATATGCTTTTGAGATCATTATCTCTATGACATACTGTAACTATAATTATACACTAGATTATAATTATGCATTATGATTTGTAAATATATTTAGACATATCAAAATATCAAAGTAAAGATTTCATTTATACTTTATTCATGTACTTCATTCTCTATGTCTTAGGCCTTTATTCTATAATAGTGTTGGTATCATTAATTACAAAATGGGGATCTTAATTTATATCTCTTATTGTCTCTTACATATTAACATCTAAAACAATTTTTGTTTATGTATTTTTAAAATTATTTTATTATTATTTTATTATATTATCTTTACATTACCTAATATAATGTAAT